TTGTTTTGCTTTTTGTTAAATACGTATCTTGCATATATATTTTAGTATGGAAAGAAAAAAAAAAGAAGACACTATGTTAGGTGCATGTATGATCTTCGTTTTTTCTCTTCTTTTAACTTTTGTTCGCCTTTTGTTTTTTTTTTCATTGCGGTTTTGTTTTATAAATATATGCATTTGGAGAATATAAATAACTGGATAGATATATGACCTATGTACGCCAGATACTCGTATAAGAGAGGATATATACACAAAATATAAAACAATAGGAGATGTTATTAGATGGTAAACTATGATCGTTTAAAAACTAGAAATAAAATTATGTAAAGAGTAAGTATGCGTATAAAATGGAGGAAATTTGTGATATTATATTAAAACTAACGAAAATAAAGGGTTTCCCATAATCGTTGAGAATAATAAACTCATTAATTTACGAAAATTCCAGTTCTCTAGCTTAAACTAATACGGAAATGCATGAACAAGATTGAATTCAATGAATTTTTGGACTGAGTTTTTGTATTATTTTGAAAACTTAGTCAATCACGACATGGTGGCTAAGTTTTTTTTTTAGCAATACAGGAATGCATTAATATCTAGAATTATTCAAATTTAAAGAACAAATTTTATCTTAAATGTCGATCAGTTACGAATACGGAAAAGATTGTTTCATATTTTGTATTGAATTTAAAGTGTCTCAAAAAAAAATAAAAATAAAACATGAAGTATTAGCATTTCGAATTGCATACCATTCGCCGACAAGACAGTTTGTTGACAGACATATTATCGACGATATTTCATCGACAAACGTATTATCGATAGACATACTGACGATAGATATTTTGTTGTCAAGGAATTCGTCGACAACTGAAATGATCGACGAGGTATTTTTCGTCTGCATTATGAACTTCTATTTGTTAACAGTCAAACAGAACGATGTATGTTCCTTTCTTTCTGGTCTCAACCTGCCCTTGCGATTCCCTTTGAAATTCTTCTATTTTCCTATGCCTTGACATATTGGATGCTTCTTTCATTATACGTAAAGTATTCATCGGAAGCTTCAAAATCTCGAACTGTCTACATGTATGATGAAGAGGTCCGCTATGCATGTCAAAAATTGATAGCACCTTTTCTGTCTCGCAACAAAGTGGAGCCTCCTTTTAAGTATCTTGTCGACAATCATTTACCATCTATCGATGATCTATTCGATTATGTCAAAGATTTCTGGATGGAAACCGTGTCAATAGACTTGTGAAATGTAGCCAATGTCAAAATATGAACAAACAACAGTAACGAATGTAAGATTATTTTTCTTTCTGTCTCCATGGTGATATTCGAATATGGTTCACTGAGGACGGCACAACAGATTTTCTCATCGCATCGACAAGAAATAGTCGAACATATGGCATTTCATTCATGTGTTTCAAGAAGAATGTGCTTGGAAAACGAGCACGTTTCATGTAATCGTGTCTTGAAACCCTTGTGGATCGATTCAAGATGGAAGAGATCGAACACGTCCAAGAGCTCTTGCTTTTAGTCGCAAAGAAGAAAAGATTCGAATTGAAAACAGTACAACTCAATCCTTCTCGATGCTAGCCTTTAGTCTTTTTCTTCTCACTAAATATTCTGATTAGTTTGTTTCTTATATGTTTTTCCATTCTTTATGAGTAGACTATTTATTATTTTGCTCTTGTATCTACTTGGTTAGATAAAGAAAAAGTAGACTGGTGCTTTTGAACGCTAGTCCTTCGTCATGAATATTTTTCGACAGCATGCTGCCGACAAACGATATTATTACCGATATTTCAAGGTTCGTAACACAATTATTTCACAAACATATAGAACCAGTAAATAGAGATGCTCTATTGAATGATGTATAAAGAGAATTGAAAATATGCGACATACAGAGAACTGCGGGTCCTTCCAGATTCGGATTTGAGTCCAGTCCACAAAAATATGGACTCGCAGTTCACTTTAGGTAAGCATAGGCCAACATTAAAAATCTTTTGTGCAAGATTTTTAAAACTGATATTCTTAAATATTTCCAATGGTCGACAGTCAAGTGATGTAAATTCGAAACAAACAATTTTAATTTTCTGTTGAACTCGATCAGGAATAACTGGTTCATTTTTTGAAGATGCATAGAGCTGATTGATACTTGCTGAAACATTAGAAACTGTCTTTTTTTATTTTAACGACTACGAAAATGCTTAGATAATGAACTAGTACCAGAAGATGATTTATAAATGAGTAAATCTTCATATTGATTGCACAGAACATATTCTTGTTCGATCTCGTTTCCATAAATACAACTAAAACTATGCTATACAGCTGAAGACTTTGATGTTACTGTTGATTTGATGGTTTTCAATGGCAAATTTCGTTTATCAATTAACTATTCAATTTCCTTTTTCTTTTTATTAACATAATGGTCTTTTCAATTCAGCAAAGACCTTTAATTTATTTGAACACCGAGTAATGAGAAAGTGAGCAACAAGAAATAACTATGTGTTGACTTTTTTTGCTGATAATATCCAATAAATAACTAAAACCTTGATCCCTCACTTGTTCATGTACACAGAGAGCGCCAGATGTTTGTAGAAAAAACTCGGGTCTGCATCCGAACGGTCTAGGTTCAGAAGTTTAACTTTTCTCAAGCCCACAAAAATATGGACCTGCAGCTCTTTAATGACACGTGCTGAAAGAAAGCATTCATGGAAGAGTATTTGATACATCGTTATAATTAGAAAAATACATTGCAAAGACAATGAAGGAAACTTTCGAACCTAGACAAAATATTTTATCAATCACAGCCGAACACAGAAAACAATGAAGAGCATGTTTATAACACATTGAGTTTTATTATAATTAACATTTTTACACGATAATTTTCATGTGAAATTTCTTTTCATCAGGTATTTATAAATATATCTATTCAAGAAATAGATAAGTAACAAAAATAAAATACGAAAAATCATGCATTTCAGTACGTAGCTTAAGCTAGAGAACTTAAGCAGGTTCTTGGTTAGACATATATGTCATTAAAAAAAAATCCGTCTTTCTATGTCAAGGAAAAAAGTAAGAAAAATATCATTGGCAATTTATCATCAGTTATTATGGGACATTCTGTATCTTTCGATGTAAGTCAAACCATTTCTTTAGTTTTTCTTCGTGAATGATATATTAGTAATCTAGATTTACGAATAACTCTCAAGTTTCATCATTTTTCAAGTTTATTTTCTTCGTACATGTCATGTAGATGCATAAATGAAAATACATTAATGATAAATGTATCTTTTTATCTTATAAAAAAATACAGGATTTATGTTTTATATGATACGCTCTTGGTTCCAACCGATTAAAATATATAGTCTTCGTGTTAATATCCTCATGCGTTTATTTAGATTGTTGAGTGATATACACAATGGAAATCATCAACTAATATGAAAATTTTTCATTAGAACTATCAAAATTCTCTTAAAATATCATTGAGTATGTTACGCAAATAATACATTTCAACATATCCATACGCCTTTGCTATTCTATAATCGATAATCTGCTAGTAATCTATCATAACGACAATCGATAATTGATGTAGACATCATTGTTTGCACTATTCTGTCCTTCTAATTGATGAAAAGCTTCAATGAAAATCAATTATAAACAGAAAAAAAATCGTTCCATTCGATTTATTATACATATCAGATTTTATTTTATATATTTTTTTTTATATATCATATATAATTATCATTCGATTTAAATCATAATAGTCTTCCTGTCATTCTCAGCATGTCTCTGTATAAGCTGTAAAGATAAGAATCAACAAACTATGAGCAAAAAAAAAGAAAATCAATCAAGCGATGATTGAAAATTGAACAGCACAAATGGCACCCTACGAGTGGACAACTGCTATATATGGTACCATTCATTTTCGTTATCGAGGATTAATAGGACGCTTGATTGACTTCATCATCAACATCTATCCACTTGTATATATTCTTTTGTTTCAAATTTCGTGCAAACGACGACAGATGGCCATACGTACATATACTCCCTATTTCCTATCATTCTTTGTCTCTCATTCTTTATTACACTCTTCACTGTTCATTTAACAAATTCACTGTCGTATATATACACACATGCATTAAAGAATTGAAATCGACTTCCTTTCTCTTTTTGATTGATCATCGAGTTCACAAGGCGCGTCAATCTTCAAAAGATGCTTTGTCGCGTGTCGCCACTCATCAATTGAACAAAAACATGCACATGACGGTCTCATGAAAAACATTATGATGAGGGAAACTGCACCAGCTGTTGTTCTATATATATATATATATATACGTGGATTGTCTTAATTGCCTTATGTCTCTATCTTCAATCTGACGCGCACCATCGATTTTTGAAGACGAAACATGTTCATAGAAGTATGTGTCAAATGAAAAATACACATAAAATGGATAGTTGAATAGGGCATACCAGGACAACGCCTCAGGAGTCTTAATACTGTTATCTTTTTCATTAACAATTCGACACTACTAGGACAAAGAAAGAGAACGTATACGACAACATGACACTACATTATTGATATATATGTGAGACTTGTATTACTGATAGATGAAGAAGAGAAGAAAAAAAGAATACAAATACAGATGGCATCTTTTCTTTTTTTTTCCTTTTTTTTCTCTTTAGCAGATGTCGAAGAGAAATCATATCGTGCTGAGCATTCATTAATGTCATTTGTCAACTCTCTCTCTCTATGTCTGTCTCTCTCGTTCTATCCATTTTTTTTTTCATTTTTATCTTGCTCTCCCTTTTCTGTTAATTGAGCGACGCGTGCTTGTTCCCTGCAGGAGAAAAAAATCCCCAATCTCGTCGCAGTCGTCTAACACGCACATTTCCTGTTGAACCAACTCTACGAGACGTAATATGAGTAAAAAAGAAGAAGAACAGACGATGTTAGTGGGAAAAATCGATGATGGAAAGAAAAAATCTTGCCAACGACGTCAATGGTTAGAAAAAAGAAGAAAAAGAAAAAGAAAAAGAAGAAGAAGTAACATCATCGACCAGAATCAGAAACATCGGAATGTTAATAATGGTGGTAGTAATAGAAGTACGATTCAATCTTTATCAACTTCTATTCTACCACCATTATGTTGGTCATCAACAAGTTTAATGTGTCATCTTAAAAGTGAACATTATTTAAAAACTAAAAATTGTCTTCATAGTCATTGGAAATGGTCTCAAACAAATAAAATTCATTCTACAACAATATTACTTGATAATAATAAACAAATATTATTTCATCCAAGAACAAGTTCATCAACACAAGTTATACTTGCTGATAGACCATTACCATTGAATGGTAAACATTATTGGGAAATCTATATGCCTGCTGTTTATGGAACATCAATTATGTTTGGCATTGCAAGTAAGTTGATAAGTTCTTGACAATAAGAATAATAGATAATATTAGTTAAAATAATTACTTTGATTATATATATATATATCTATTTATTTTGTTATTTAAGCTAATGAACAACAAATGTTTTCATCTACATTTACAAATCTAATTGGAATTGATCAACATGGTTGGGCACTATCACATCATGGTTTATTATGGCATAATGGAATATCATATTCATATTTATCTCAATCAATGGAATTACTTCGACCTATTTTAATTGGTTTAGAATTTGATGCTGATGCACGAACACTTTCATATATAATTAATAATCAATCAATGGGCATTGCATTTCGTTGTATACCAAAAAATGTATTAATTTATCCAGCTGTATCATCAACAAGTGCACAAAGTACAATGATTCTTAAACATTGTTGTAAGATATGTTCGTCTTTACGTGAAATTTGTTTGAAATTAATTAAATCATCGAAATTAAAAGAGAATATTAATAATCAATTGTTACCTCGACATTTAATTGAACAATTGATTAAGTAAGAACAGTATAATTGTGTTGTTTTGTATATGTTATTCGTAGTTTCATCGTCGGTTGGATTTTAGTCTTCTTTATCTTCTTCTTCTTCTTCTTCTTTTTTTCTTTCTTTTCTTTCTTTTCTTATGGTCGAGGTCGAGAATGTGCAATGCTCAAAAGATGTACAAAACTAGCTTTGAAAATTAAAATTTCGTATTTTGTTTTTGTTTTTTTGTTTCTCGTTTGACATTCCGTACGAACAGATTTTGTTTTTGTGTTGTTTTTTCATTCATTCCATAATGATCAAAAAATAGGAAAAAAAAAAAACAAAATTAATATGACTATCATTATTTTTATTGATGTTGTTATTTGTGTCTTATTATTATATTTATTGAATTTTTCTTTTTTTTTGTTTCTTAAAAAAAAAAAAAAAAACGAGTGCCATCTAGTCAAATGAGATGTTCATGCACAACGTTCATTTCTGTACAAATCGTCTTGTGTTTGTTTTTTTCTTTTCTTTTCTTTTTTTCGTAATATATGTTATTTGTATTCACGAGCCACAGAAAAACAAAAAAAAAGTATTTAAATAAATATAAATTATCATTTTAATCGTCAAAAAAAAAAGATATGTTTGATAAAACATTAGAAGAAAAACAAATGAATCATTGTCGATATTTCGTAATTAATAAATATGATAAAATTTCGCATGAATAATAATTGATTGTTTGACAAGGAAAAAGAATAAGAAGAAATGTTTATGTATGAATTGTTACATTCCGCTTGAGTTATTCATCAAAAATTAATGAACTAAGCAATGACATGACCAAGAATAATATGAACAGTAATGTTAAATTTTAAAATCAATTGATTTCATCTTTTTACATGACTCATGAATGATTCATTTTTCAAGAAACATATATATGGAAATGGATATGCAAATATTGCTGAAAACAAGTTTATTTGATTCTTTACTAACAAGAGGAACTACACCAAATGTAGTCCGTCCTTTGAACTTATATTAGACTCAGCAGTTTCCGGGATTGTGCTGTAAATCTTGTCATATATTTTACCATCAAACGAAAGAAACTGGAATAAAGGCAGGTACCTAGCTGAAGATGAAGGATTACTCTTCAGAAGTATAGTTCTCTTTTGATACAGATAAAATCTATTATATACTATCAATAGATAAATTCAGATAAATCAGGCGGTCTAAATAAATTCTGGTAGCCTCTCATTGGATTTATAAGAAGGTTTCGATAAGACTAGAAGATTCCTAAAAGGGGTCGTACCCAAGGGCCTCTAGAACCAAGTTACGACCGTTTTATTGAATCTTCGATCCATTTTTAGATATTAAACGGGAAATAAAATAAGGGAATTTCGACCTGTAGTTTTATCCGTAGATAGTTCTAATCATCCTTAGAATGTCCTGAAATTTTCAGCCGAAAAAAATCTTTATTTTTTGAGATATTAAATTTCCAACAACTAGTCGCTTGCTACAGATATGGTACAAAGATCAAATTTACTTGAAAATTCAATATCTCGACAAAGGAACGTCCTTTTCGGCTGAAACATTCAAGATATTCTAAGTGTTATTAGACCTAACTATAAAACATCAGTTTGAAATTTCTTTGTTAGAATTGCTAGTAAATATTTAAAAACAGGTTTAAAATTTAATAAAACGGTCATAACTCGGTTTCAGAGAACCATGGGCACGAATTTTTTCAAGCATTTTCTAGTCTTACTGAAACATCCTTGTATCTCAAATATGAACTCAAACAGGGAGTTACAGTTCAGGTAGTTCCATCGTAAGCATACAGTAATCGTCAAAAACCTTGCTATCGAGGCAAAGTTACCTAAATGATGAATCTTTTTACCTGCCATTTTTGTTTTTTCCATAAGCACAGCTTGGTAAACGTTGATCGCAAAGACAAACTCAAGGTCGATCGACTTTTACGCATCGGATTTAGAACAAAAGCGTTGTTTTTATCCTTGAATCTCAAAAAGAGCATTTCCGATACTTCTTTGATTCGCCATTATTTTAAAAGGTTAATATTCATCCTTTTATCGCTAAGTAAAGCTTCACATGTCTTTACTGTATCATAGATAAAAGACTTCAATCTGCTGTGATGTTTCCATTATCTGAAACGAAACAGAAAGAACTTCTTCCTAACAATATCCAAAGATAATTTCATAAATCAAGTCAACTACATTCGTTTAATATGAAATTTTTTATCGGCAATATAGGGAGCACTGAGCTCTCGAGTGAAGGGTGAAACATTATGAGATTTATTGCTAGTGTTGAAATATTCTCATTTGAATAAAAACTCTATATTGTTCTTCTATAGCTCCTTCGTATGAACGGTGATCAACTTGCGTTTAAGATTCATTGCGTTCTATTTGTAGACAAAACATACGACTCAAGAATTTAAGTTTAGATACTTTTTACTTGATAGCGAAAACTCTTGATAGCTACTGTCAAAATCATGGACACTCATAAACGAGTTGACAATTATGTCATACATGGCCTTTAATTTATTTCTCGTCAAACATATTTTTTAAATTCTGTTGTATTATTATGGTATTAATCAACATAGTTAAACCTTATAACATAGATATTAATTGTTCCAAGTCAATAACTTGTGATAGATAAAAATAGAATATTTACTAATGTTCGCACTTAAATTAAACACGGATGATTGTAAGCTCAACAAATCGACAATGACAATAGTTATAGCCCTGAGATTTTTAGAATTCGAGGGAGTAGAACTCCAGACGTTTTTTGATTTGATACTATATAAGACAAAATTATTTTAAAACTCACAATCTTTACACAAAATATTCGACGATATTTTGTTTTATGAAAACTTATAATAAAAAGTCAGAAAATTAGCTAAAAAATCAAAAGAATTCTATACAATTTGACCGAATAGATACGTGATTGAGTTTGCGCAACATTAAGATATGAGAAGATTAGCATCTGGTTTATGCATTGAACTATAGATCTGAAGTTTATCTGTCAGAAACATTTGTCAAAATCTAAATTATATCGAAACAGACCACTGTTTTCATGCATTTTTTAAAGTGTTTTTTTTGCGAAGATAATGAGTTTAAAAATAATTTTGTTTTATATAGTATCAAACGAAAAGACATTCGAAGTTCTCCTCTTTGAATTTCTAAAAATCGGAGATCGCTAATTGTTTCTATTTTTGTGTTGTTATCATTACATTCACGCCTCTTCAATTCTTGTGCAGATATTACAAACATTTTATTTACAAAATAAGATCTTGAAGAATTCATTCGGATTCATCACATTCATTTTGATTTATGTAATATGAAAGAATAACTTTAGTCGAAAAAAAAAATTGTATGGCTGTAGTTGTTTATTTAAGTGAAAATGTTTTATTCTGTTGTAATTTTGTATACATAAAATGATGAAAAAAAAAAAGTCAGTTGTTTTACATGAAGAATCTATAAAGTTCTTATTTAGTGCAATTAAAATTAAATTTGCATTATTGTTGTCGTTAGCCAACAAAAAACATCACATTTTATTCTTACAACAAAAAACGAAAAATATCAAATGTTTGGAGCTAAGAAACGTAGAACTATCGCACCGATCAAAGAACGAGTTTGTAGAAAAGATTTGCTTTGAAAAAATATGAGTTTCTTCTTTTTAAAGGACCCTGATACACTTCTCCGTGAACATATTGTTAAAAATACTGATGCATCACATGTGCTTGTTTCAGAATATGATGTTCTTGATAAACAAAAACCAGTATCATTTTGGATGCGAGATCTTAATATTCCACAATGGCTTTTATTAGTCTTTGTTTCATTGACTATAATTGTATTTACAGCATTTGCTTTATTTACTGCAATTGTTACATTAAAAAAAGAAATGGATGGAGGTCCATGTAAATCAAATACAGATTGTCGTCGTGATCTTAGTTTAATTTGTAATAATTATCGTTGTGGTTGTGCTTATTCACATTTTTGGAGTAATTCATATAGTATATGTGAACGAAGACGAATGGTCAATCGAACATGTGTTAATGATTCTATGTGTGATGCATTTGCAAGTTTACAATGTCAAAATGTTCCACTGACGTAAAAATAACCAAACGAATTTATATATTATTATATAATTTTTATTAATTTTTTTTTTGTTCTAGTAATGGAGCTATTGAATCTCAATGTCAATGTAAAACATCTATGTCATGGAATGGATATATTGTTAAGTATATTAATATTAAATTATATTCTTATCTATTTATTTTATTTTAGTGTGTTTATCAAAGTTTATATAATACATCATGTCTTCTAGATGCTAATTGTGATACAAGTCGATATTTATTTTGTAATTTAACAATACAACTTTGTCAATGTAATTCATCTATGTTTTGGAATGGAGATTCAAAATCGGGTACATGTGAATATAAACGAACTGTTAATCGATATTGTTATCCATATGATAATAATTGGTGTGATGATACAGGTCCTCTAGGTCAACGTCTTGTTTGTACTCGATATACGAATCCTTATGGAAGTGAATATGGTAAGTTCGATAGAAATGAAATATTATATTGTTTTTATTGTGAAATACGATCTAAAAAGAATCTTGAAGTATAGGAGTAAAAATTTTGAACCTTTCTTTCCCCGTAGACCATGACAAATATTACCATGAAAATATCACAGACCATATATCAATAATACTCTCGAACAAAATTTCCAAGCTCATGTTCGGAAAGAATACAAAATTCTGTTTCTAACTCCTCGGAAATACTTTCTAGTAGATCAAAAATGAACAAGCATCTTATCTAAAAGCTTTCCTATCACCCATTATTTATTTATTGAATTTCTGAAAGATTAAGTAAATCGATCCTGAAGAAACATATCCAAAAATAGATAGAAAAAAAAACAATTTCCTTGTAGTTAGCAATTACAGTTACATTGTATTTCATATTTTAATCTCGCAAAGACTGTACTAACACCGGTTCTTTTTATATAGGTGTATGTCAATGTTCTACACATGAATTTTATAATGGTAGTGCTTCATTAGGTAATGGTATTTGTGTACCACATCATTTATATAATGAATCATGTACATCAACATCTCAATGTGATTATCGAATTAATTTAGCATGTTTAAGTAACCTATGTTTATGTCCATCAGGTACAAATTATGATTCATCTATTAATAGTAATGGTGTTATGGGTTATTGTAAATCTGCTGCGGGTTATATGGAAAATTGTACAGCTTCTTTAGTATGTAGTTCATCACAAAATCTTTTTTGTAATTTATCATATTATGGTGGAGCAAATACGTCTGGTATATGTCAATGTAATAGTTCATGGTCATATTGGGATGGTACAACATGTACAACAAAATTATCAATTGGTGGTGAATGTTCAAGTAATATACATTGTATTGAAGCGCATGGTCTATTTTGTAGTAATTATACACAATCAATAGGTACATGTGATTGTGATAAAGATCATTTTTGGAATAATACATGTATATCTAAACAATGGTATAATACAACATGTCCATCATCATATGTTTGTGATGATAATCGTGGTTTACAATGTCAAGGTCTTGGTGGTAGTATGTTTCAAAAATGTGATTGTTATAATACAACTTATATTTGGGATTCTTTATATGTTACAAATCGATCATATACATGTATACCGAAATTAACAAATGGTCAATCACCATGTTTTGGTGATCTTGAATGTGAAGATTTTAATTATTTAAAATGTAATAATGGTACATGTGGATGTTACTATACAGATTATTGGGATGGTAGTCGATGTCAACCTAAAAGAAATTATGCAGATCCATGTTCAAATACTTATCAATGTCGAGATTTTAGTCCAGTTAATTTAATTTGTCGATATGGTACAACATCACCAGTAGCGTTACAATGTCTTTGTAATACTACATCTTATTGGGAAGAATGTGTTCAAGCATGTCTTATTTCAAAAAAAGTAAGAATTAATTAATTAATTAATTTTCATTTTCTTCTATTTTTTTTTAGTATCATGAATCTTGTACACTTGTTTCGAATTGTACAACTAATGAATGTGATAAAACAGCAAATTTACAATGTATGAACGATAGTATTTCATCACTTACAGGATCTGGATGGTGGTATGTATTTCTTTTTTCTTTTGTAGAACTCACATATATTTTCGTGTATAAGTTTTAAGTCAAAGTTTTGCGACTTTCCTCCTCATTACAGACCTCAGCAACCGAGAACGACAAACGTCAGATCTTTTTCTTAAAGTTTTTTAACGAAAGAAAAAAAGACACTGAACAGCATTAGCCATAAGACATTGACTCTTCGAAAGAATTCTAGAATATTCGAAAATCCTCCTCGAAATTTGAATGATTAGAATACGTTCATATATCCATGAACTGATCAAGCTTTAACTTTAGGATATAATCAATATCAGTGTTTGTAAGTTTATCGAAATATATAATAATGCGTTAAGACTAGAGTACTGCAACCTGAGGATCGAGTATCCGCACCTGCTTACAGATACGAAAAATTGTACTCGGGCAGTACTCTATTTGAGATCTGTCATAGATATATAGATATGTATCACAGGCTTATTTGCCAGTTATATTAAGAAAAGTCGAATACGAAAAAGTAAAATAACGAGTGAATAGCAACAAGGCAACTAAAAAAATAGAAAAACTTTTTGGTTGAAATGCAAAAATATAAATAAGACGAATCGGTTCTCTGGTGATTGATTATCTTGAAGAAAAATTGTAGTCTGCTAGAGATTATTCACATGATCTATTTTGTATTAGTATAATGAGGCTAAAGTACACATGTCAATTCCATATGTCAGCTCCAAAGGAAATACGCTGACAAGGTTTTTTTTTTATATTTCAATACATAAAATCAACAACGACAAAAAATATTCTTTTCATTTAATATCTATCTAGTAATTGTACACAATTACAATGGTGGAATGGATCATATTGTCGAAATAAAGGCACACCATCTTGGGGAGTAAATGCAAGTAATGTATGTAATGCAACATATCAATGTGCAGATTACAATTTAGTTTCTTGTCCACTCAGCACAACATGTGAATGTGCAACAACTAAATATTGGGTATGTTAATTAAGAATTTTTTTTTTTTCTGTTGAATTTTATTGAAATAATATGAAATACTTATAGGATGGTACTACATGTAAAGATCGAGTATTATATGGTGAATCTTGTACATCATGGCCTACTTATCCGGTAAACACGACAACATGTTTAAATGCTGCTGGTGCTGGATTACTTTGTAGTAGTTCGAGTTGCAGCGGGGGAATATGTGCAGGTGGCACCTGTTATTGTCCTAGTGGCACAAATTGGAATGCAACATTTAGTTTGTGTGCTAGCGCAAGCACTGGATAAAAATGATACTTTATAAAGTTTTTTTAATTTTTCTTTTTTTCTTTTGCTATTGAAATCATGCAAATTTTAAATTCATATGATTACTGATTGATTAATAGAAATGTAATTCGTATATTTCTTTCTTTCTATTGTTTGTGTTTGAAGAATTAGTCTACCATCTTTTGACAATTATATGAAAAATAAATTTAATATAAATATTTTAAATTATTTCTATTCTCTTTATACATAGTAATGTAGAACTAAAAATGAAATCCTATCAAGTGATTAAAATGTACCAAAATCAACTTAATTATTCAGTCTGTATGAAATCAAAAAAGGCATAGATCAATGAAAGGAAATGCTTTTCTATATAATAAAACTCTAATATTTGAATATCAAACTTTTCTTTCCCGGCTTAGTACATTTCTTGTACTTTAAATTGAAAAAAACAAAATTAACGATAACCGTAGTTAGAAGAATTGTAGATACTTCATCTTATTGTGTTTTTCCTGCAAACGAAGACAAACAATTAAAATAACTTTCTTATTTAAAACAAAATATTTTTATTTATAATTAAAAAAATTACAATGATTTTTATCGCTTCATGCTTGTTTTATTTATATTATTTTAACAACCTTGCAAAAAAAAGAAGAGAAATATCCTCCATATATAAATAGCATTTATCATGATTAAAATCTTTCAGAAACAGATTTCTTTAGTTCATGAGTCCCATTATTGTCCTATTTTTCTCGAGATAGAAGAAATGTTTCAATGATAGAGTAGTATTTCATGATTTCTCATTTCAAAAGTCCATAAAATTTATCGCTTTTTTCTTATTCCAAAAATGTGCACCACTCACACCAACGCGATCTGAGCACTAACAGTCACCCTGACTAATATCTAGACTGTTGGGAATTTAAAAAAAAAAGAATGTACATCAAACACTGAAAAGTTACGAAAAAAGATTTTCTAAGCTATCGTTTATTTTATTATCTCATTTCATATTCATTTATTTTATTTATAAATTAAATGGTAATCAATGCTAATTAAAAATTATCATGATAACAAATCGATAAATGTTCAGAAATAAAGCATCATTATTTGAAAACATTACAGAGCCAGAAATATAAGAAAAAAAATTCCATATCGTTAGATGCGGTCATACTGTTCCGTCATGTTTTTTGGACGTAGTGCACGTGTCTGATTAATACTAATACTTTAGTGATATGTGGTATTCTATTAAATAAATTAGCAGAAAATATCTTTTCTTTCGTTGATAGTTTCAAAGTGAAACAATTGAAGAAAACGAATATTTCATAATCCTACAATTCATAAATGTTCTTTTCGATTATTGAAAAGTTTAACATTTAATGATACATAAAGATTTTCATGTAAAACAAAAAGTATTTAAATTTCATCGATCAAATAATTCCCAAAAATAAAAACAAAAGAAAAACATGGACATCACTTGATGACCTCTAGTGTATAGTTATTCTGATTGGCGTAAATAATTCATTGCTGTTTCTTTAAATTGATTGAATGGATGATTGTAATCACGACAAAAAAAAATATATATCAACTTATTCACTCGCTGGTTAAAACAAGTAGACAAAGAAAGATAAACGACAGAAAAAAAAAAAACGAACTAATCATATTTTGAGTTCTGTCATATTTTTTCCAATATATTTATTTATATAAATGAGTAGGATTTTTCTTCAAATTTGATTCATATCAATTCGAAATTTATATATATATATATATATTTTTTTTTTCTTTTTTCCCAATTGTAGGGATATGATAATGAATGAAAATAATATATTAAAATGGTTAAAAGAATTTAAATTTAATTGGTTACCTCAACATATTTCAAATGATACTCATTTATTACAATTAATAACAAATCAAATTAATGAATTTGAACAATTATTAATTCGTAAATATTCAAACTTTTTTTTTTATACAAAAAAAAACAAAATAATTAATTTTCTATTAATAGAAAATAATCAAGTTGAAAATGATTCATCAATTGAAAATAACTATCAATGTACTAATTCAAGTGATATAAGACAATTTGATCTTTCAACACAACAACAACAACAACAACAATCGGAAAATTTCTTATGTATATCTTCGGATAAACATGATGTTGATAATAAAAAACAAGAAAATTATTCTCGACCAGCTATTCGTTTAAAACGTATTTCATTAGCTGAAGCTGAACGTTTTTTACCATTATCATGGAAAACAAGTAGTAAGATAATGAAAGAATGTTGTTGTTTTTTTTTTTTAAATAAAATTTTTTTTTTCTCTATTTTTCAAGCAAAATCAAAACCTGGTAGAAAAAAACGAAAAATAATATTTTCGAAATTTATTTTCAATGGAAAAAAAGCGAAGAAAGATGCTCAAACAAATAAAACATTTGTATCAACATCTACACCCGATGAAAGTATGTATAAAGATTAATTTATATTTCTAGCTATAAGTTATTACATTGAATTTTTATTTTTTTTTTTTTGGAATATAAAAAATCAATGTTCTACAAGAATTAAATAATAGTTTGATTCGTATTTTATTCTTTAACATGTTTTATAATTAGATACTAAGATTAGATGCAAAAAATTCTTGTTTTTTTATTATGAAGTCAGTATTTATAACATTGTTTTTTTGATAAACTGAGTTACGTCGAAATTTTCTTTCGAATAAAATAACTATGAAGCCAATATGTTTGAAGAGATTTACATATTAGAAATAAAATTAAAAAGTAAAAGCCATATAAATTTTTTTATTTAACTAGTCATGTATTATAGAACATATATATATATATAAACGACATAATACGAAATAAATTTGAATTTATATACATGCAATATTTTATTCTTATAGACTATGTCATTGATAAAATCATTTAGAAAATAGAAAATATGCAGGACTAAGATTTGACTTTTTTTTGATTTTAACGATAAAAAAGAAGATGTATAGAGTATTTTAATAGTTCTTCAGTTATTTTTAAATCGGAACAGGAAAAAATACGGTTAGTTGAACATAATAGGAAGGTAATGATCAGAACTTCCGCTTTCTTTCAAACAGGTCACAAAATACTTTATAATTAAATTTAAAATAGAAACATTTACTACATAAAATATTTGACTTACAAGAAAACTACATTCTGTCGTTTGAGCTCATATTGAGTCCATAAGAAGGTTTTGATAAGACTAGAAAAAGTCTAAAAGAATTGATTCCTATGGATCTTTGGAGCCGATTTATGACTGTTTTTACGAAATTTTCAATTGATTTTTTATATATTTACTGGAAAATTTTTAATAATGAAATTTCGAACTGAAATTTCATTTATAGTTAGATCTAATAACTTTTTAAAACAACCTGAAAGTTCAATAACTTGACGAGGAAACATGTTTTTTTCTGCTGAAACTTTCAGATTATTCTAAAGGTCATTATAACTACCTATGACTGAAATTTCAGATCGAAAATTCAGTAAAACCGTCATAATTCACCTCTGAAGATTCATGGAGACGAACCTGTGTAGATATTTTTCTTGTCTAATCAAGACCTTGTCGATCTAATATGAGCGCAAACGATGGGTTATATAAAGAAAAAGAAGGAGAAAGTGAACTATTAGAAACTTTCAAAATATTCTACAAAATATAGAAATTTCTTTTTAACTAACGATACGAATGAATCCTCTGTAACATCCATCTTCTAGCCAATATAAACATATTAAAGTGTGAAACAAATCGTTTTGATCGACTTAGACAATGAATAATTAAATTGCCTTCTTGTCATCAAGATCTGTCAGCTTGTCATCACAATTGTTCTAGTAGAGGATATTGATCGATTGAATTAGTCAAGTTTTTTTCATAATAGGTGTAGTACAAGTGATTTAGCGAATATGTTCACTATAAGTAGATGTGAAGAAAAATGTCATTCGAATAATTGCAGCGCAATACCCTTTTAATCTTTTGAGAACAATAAGACGTAATTTATCCTACTTGTTTTTTTCAATAGAGAAAAAATATCTTTTGTTTACATTAAACTGTTATTTTTATAAGGGGATATAGGTCATAGGTAACGCCTAGTTTTAATATCGCACTTATCTTTTCTTTTTTTCTCACATAGTTTCTTTTCAAATGCTTTCTGGTTTTTCATACTAATATACAGTAATGTTATAATTTCTTTCTTTTCTTCTGATCTATTGTCTTTCGAGAGTATGTTTACTTTCTATTAAGCTTATGTATAGAACTGTTTCTGTTTATTATTGACGAAATTACGTTGTTTTTTGGTTTTGAGAAATATTTATCGTTTCTTTTTCTCTAAGAAGAAAAGGTATGTTGTGACCTTTAGGATAAGAGAAGTGAAAATAATCATCATATAAACTCTTAAAATTTTCTATTCTAGATTCTTCAACAAATTTTGTTTAGTTTTTCATTCGGAGGAAAATAAAACTACTTATACTTTTCATTACTTTATATTCTATGTATGATTAAAACTAATCAAATGGAAATAATGAAGTCGATGACAAGTCTTGCGATCCATATACTACTACTGGCAACAGCAATGAAAGAATAGCTCGCCGCGTTCGGCCCTGAAAATTTTGACTTCGAGAGGGTCTCGGCGTTTGAGAAATATGTAGAGTGCGTTAGTCATGAAATACCAAAAATCGCAAAAAAAAAGGTAAAATCGTACCTTCCGGACGACTATCCTATTTGTTGGTGTATCCGAAGACGAGTTTGTTTCATCTTAGAATGGAAAAATGGCCAGGTTCTTGTCATCTTAGAAGAAAGATCTACGGAACAGATCGTACAATTTTTGTTCTATCGTTCTATATGAAAAACTTTGTTCTAACAGTTTTCCTGCTGGACAAAGTAAGTATACTCTCTCAATCAAAACTTGACATGTTCAGTGTAGTCGGCGTGCACACTTTAGCACAGCTTAAAATACAATGAAACTTTCACAGAATGTTTTTCTCTGTCTGATACATTTACTTAATTAGCATAAATGCTTCTAGATTGAAACATAGGTTTTCTTTAAAATATTTTGTTTTTTCACATTTTTTTTTTTTAATCTCAGAACTATTTTTAGAGAAAAACAAACACATATTTGAAATCAGCATGAAAAAGCTGTATCAAATGATGTGCCATTTGGTAATTTTTAGAATAAAACTTTTGCAATAAAAATTTAGGGTAAGGAATCTGTTATGCATTTTTCGATGTGCTAGAAAAATCAGTAGTAATGGTGATGAGTATCATACCTAATATAGATTAACTAAAATAGTCAAAGAACTGTTATACAACTAAAATTCTATTGTCATGGCTGTAACTACTTCATCTTCACTCGATTTAAGTGATCTATAATTACCAGCTATTTCATTGTAATTCAACATCATATAGACAATCTCTAGTGAATGATATTAGAACGGTTATATGCTGTATCATCTACAGTTGCTCAACGAAAAAAAAAAAGTTATATTTTATATTTTTTTTTCTTTTTTATGTCTTGACTTATATTTGCTCTCTGTTAGAATGTTAATATTATTCCATACAATAAAACACATATTTGGCCAGTGGGAATTTTCTCAAGCACTAGAGCCTATCCGGTCCAAGTTTGAAACTTTTTGGACTCAATAGGCTGTATTATTCACGTTGATATTTCTTCTTTCGCGACCATTTTACAGTCAACTCATTTTCCATTGAAAGTATTCTTTTTACAAATTTCATTTTTTTTTCCATCAATGTTTTTGTTGAGTACTAATGTCAAAAGTGTAGAAAATAAAAACAAAGATAATACTTATCAGTCAATTAATCAGGTATAGTGAAAATGTAGATGTACGTGTGAGTGAGTGCGTTCTTTTCATTTTCACCTATCTACATGCAACATTCACACTTCCAAAAAAAAAAATACATATGCATGATTCTAGTTAATTTTTTCATTAAGATTTTCCTGTTTTTTTTTAACTTTAAATAATAATTTTTATTGTTTTGATGTTTGAATAAGTCGATATTTTTTTTTTTGTTATCTTTTGGTAAAAAAGTAGAATTTATCATTTCTCTTCATATTCTAAATTACTTGTTATTCAATTTATTATTTTTTTCTTTAGCTATAAATAATTCAAAAATTAAACAAAAAACAATTCGATCAAAAACAATTGTCGAACATCCATCAACATCATCTATTGCAAGTACACAATCAGTTAATAATAATAATAATAATAATAATAATAAAAAGAAAAAAAGAAAATTACGTGCAATGGATGGTGAAGATGATGATCTATGTACATTGGGAAATTTATCTCAAACAGATGTTATTAATGGTGGTGACACTGAATGTGAACAAGTATCACGTTACATAGGACAAAATGGTATATTATCTCAAACACGTAAAATAAATGAAACAACAATAAATATTGAAAATGATAAAACAATAAAACAATCAAAAAAATCGAAAAAAAAAAAAAAATTAACTAAAAAATCATCTAATCATTCAAATGATCATAGTGTTAATACAAAATCAAATGAATCATCTCCATGTGAAATATTAACTTTCATCGAAGATATTGGTCAAATACATCATGAAGAAATATTACAAGATATAACAGAAAATGATCAACAATCATTATTTGATTCACTTAATATAACACCTGATAGAACATATGAAACAAATTCAACATTAAATATAAATTCATTTATTAATTATACTGATTGTATCGAAGATATATCAAACGATGCTGTCGATCTTCCTTCAACAACATTATCATCGAATAGTTTATCTCATGTTACTTTAACAACATAATATTTCAAAAAAAAAAAGAAACAGTTGCATGTTCACTTTTCTGTTTTTTTTTTTTTTTTACTACTTAATGAAAGTTTTCTTTTTCGTCTTTTTTTTTTTTTTCGTTTTATCAAAACCAATTGTTTGTTTTATCTTGCATATAACTTTACTTATTGCATTTGTTCTGTGTAGTATATTACTCCTGTTCATTATTCAATGGGCTTTCAGTTCGCTTTTTCTTTTCATAAAAAAAAAATGTAAACATTCAAATGAATATTTATATCATGTTTATTGAAAAGAAATCAGAAAAAAAGAAGAAAAAAAAAAGTTATTTCATTATTGTTCATTTCTTGTTTTTCTTTTTCTTATCATGTATAAAATAATTGAAATAATAAAAAATTCATTTATTAAAATATCATTGAAGTTTTATATAATAAGATGAATTTTGTATTTATTTATTTTTTTTTTTTTTGTATTTCAGGCCATCAAAAAATTTCTCGTCCAATTAATTATATTAATGTCTTTGAATCATTCAAAACGTTCATTACAATCATCATCAAATTCTGATACATCACCTATAAAAAAGAAAACTAAAATTGCATTAAAACGAAGCTTTACACATTCATCGTCATCATCATCAAGTGATGATCTAGATATTCCAGTGGTATGATTTTATTTATTTAGTTTTATTTTAAATGAATACAGATAATTGAACATGATTTTTTAAGACATAGAAAAAAAAAATCACATAATCTAATTTAATACTTCGTATAGTTCTTGTATAACAAACTATTTATTTTTTTTTCGAAGTGAGGAAGAGGAAAGTCTTCAGATTTTGATGCGTACGTTTTGAATCTATTAGTTCCTAGAACTCGATATGATTAGATTTGTAACATAATTCGTTTCTACATGCTGTTCTTCTCGAATTATAATTGTTTTACTGAGTTTTCAACGTGTAGCAAGTAAAGATGTGTGTGTTCAATTATAGTCCCGTACTCTAGAACCACGAATGAAGATGAACCGTTTTAGACTTCTTATAGTCTTATCGAGCTCTAGAAACTGATATATATATTGGATTCAAAACGATACGTAACACTTAGGGACCTTTCCTTGTGAGCTTTGTCTGATGTTTCTATAGGAGACGATAGTATTCAATTAGTAGAAAAAATTTTATTATTCGAATTATAAGAATCATTAATAAAATGTTTTTCATAACTTATTCTTAGTCTTTTATAAAGTCGACATTTACAAATATAGATATAAGAATCTAAATGTTTTACGTATAATAGGAACTTTTCCAGATGTTACATTGCTTTTCAACCGAGACGATGTTTATTTGATGAGTAATAGTGAATAATAGAAAAGTCTAGAATGGTTTAATTTTCCAGATCTTTGTTCTTGAAATATCGAAATTTTATTGGATTTTTCTCCTTCAAATCACATGTACAATTGACTTTCAAGTTTCGACTTCAAACAAAAAAGGTTACTTGATTGTGCAATTTTTAACTTTTCTATTATTTCTTTTGTGAAGATGTAAAGATATAAACAAAATTGGCTTTTACACATGAGAGAATTTCGAATATGGAACATTATTCCTGCAAACTTTGAAGTCAAAACTCGAAAGTCGATTTTCCACATGATCTAAGAGAGAAAAAGCCCATTAAAATTTTGATATTTCAAGAGCAAAGGTCTGAAAAACCAAATCATTCTAGACTTTTCTCTTAATCAAAAGCATTCATCAAATAAATATCATCCGATCGAAAAACGATTTGATACCTGAAGATGTTTTCTCGTTAATTCGAATATTATAAAAATTTTGATTTAAGTATTAGTTCGATTTATTTCTTTATTAAATTTATTTGATTGTGATTAAAAACTAATTATCACTGAACAGATTCTTAGAATAGTATTCTCATATTATAGTCTTCAACAACTCGTCGAAATGTTTCTACTTCAAAACAGCATACATCAGTACCATTATCAAAACCTATTGAAACATCTCCATCAACACCTACACCTACACCACCACCACCACCACAACCATCAGGTCGTATTCAAATTCAACGTTCATCATCGTCATCATCAGCATCATCAGATGCTTCAAATGGTAGTGATGAAATTGTAACAAAACGTACTAGACAACGACGTAAAAAACCAACTGTTTCAACTGAACGTTCAAATATTTTAAAACAAATGAAACGTAAAACACAAGAAAAGAAAAGTTCACTTACAACAACAACAACAACAACACCACCACCAACTACTACTACAACTATTACTGATAATAATAATAATACTAGTCATAATGATAGTGGAAATAGTGTAAATGGTACAAAAAAATGTTCATTTCAATTTAGTGATGATGATGAGGATGATGATAATACTAATAATAATGATGATCAAAATCATAATACAAAAACAACTACTAATAATGATATTGATGATGGTGAAACAACTGAAAGTTATGAAGTTGAAAATGATAATGAAGATAATCATAATAAGAAAAATAGTAATATTAAAAATGAATATGAATATGATGAAGATGAAGAAGAAAATAGTTCTCCAACAAAACGAAAACAAGGTCATAATGGTAGAAAAAATATTCGAAAAATAATTGATGATAAAGAATTAGATATTCAAACTAAACAAGCTGTTGAAATTGAATTAGAACGTCGAAAACGTATTGCAGAAAAACAAAAAGAATATAATGATAATTTACTTGAAAAATCAACATATATAATAAATAAAGAAAATGAACAAATAAATAATTCAAATCGTCGTTTAATACTTGAATTAGATAAAATAACAAATGAACCATTAATTGAAGTTTCATTAAAATTAGTTCAACAATTAAAACCACATCAATGTGATGGAATAAGATTTTTATGGAATAATGTATTTGAATCAATTGATGCAATTGAAAATAAAAAACAAGGAAATGGTTGTATATTAGCACATTGTATGGGTTTAGGAAAAACTTTACAAGTTATTAGTTTTATTCATACAATTTTTAATTATGATAAAATAACCAATGTTCGAACATGTCTTGTTCTTTGTCCAATTAATGCTGGTAATATATTATTTATATAAAGCATTCTATCGGATTAGATGATCTATTTAGAAATGAGAAAAAAACAATATATCATGTTGCCGAGGCATGTCGAATGATATATATTGTGCTCTTTGGTATCAATCGAAATTATTTGTAAAAGCTTTTTCTTGCATACAGTTTTATAAAACTTTTGACAAGCTACAAGTTCATATACTTGACATTTTTTATCATTCCTATTTTTGATAGAAAAAAATGTAATTTTTCAATGATTTATCACCGTTTTTCACTAATGGCAAGTTTCTATGTGTTCAATATTGTAAACCAAACTTTCTCAGAAATTACTTGCGATGTAACATTACAAAACATACTATTTGGAAGTTCTCGAAGATAAGTGCATGATATTCAAAATAGTCTTGCATTGAGAAATTTCAATCGACTTTCACATCAATCTTTCTCTTTCAGTATTGTATTTCGACTATCAACAGTCGATTCTCGTGTGAAATAAACATGTTATTCGGAATCAGCATAACAAACTGCATTGAATAACTTATATTTTAACTAAATATTTTTTCCATCAAAATTCGAACTGTACTTTCCTTCACCCATTGTTTTTTTAATTTCACCCTGTAGTTCCCCGGGGATCAAATTTCGACGG